TACACTCTGGCCATGATGGTCTCCCATCTGCACTGCTGATATTCGGAGACTAGGACCGTCCTGTTCTACTTCTTACCTCATTTACACTCTCAATGAAATTCGCCGTGTATCCAAACACGTGGAAGCATTCTATAGTCAAACCTAGACATAAACGAGGTAGCCGTCAAAACACAGAAAAATACCGCCTCACCAGTCACACGCCTATCGCCTCGAGAGTGATGGAAAGAATTGTTAAGGAAAACTTGATGCACTTTCTATTTAGTCGCAACATCATCAATAGACAACAACACGGATTTTTACCGTCCAATCCTTGTCAGACTTGCCAATTTGAGTTTCTTAGCTATGTGACTGCACAGGTGGATGCTAAACAGACACTAGTCATTATCTTCCTTGATAGGAGAAAAGCTTTTGACTGAGTACCACACGCGGAATTATTAGTAAAGCTTGAATCCTACGGAATCTCAGACCGCCTGCTCTCGTGGTTCTAATCTTATCTCTCAGCTCGCACGCAACCAGTAATGATAGACGAGTCTATATCACTCCCCAAACCAGTCACAAGTGGCGTTTTTCAGGTCAGCATACTAGGCCCACTGTTATTCTTGCTATATATCAATGACGTTTTCCAGGTAATACGATATGGCAGGTCCTACCTGTTTGCCGATGACATCAAAATGGTGTTCTCCATTCACCCAGCAAGCATGCGAGCCAGTCTTTCCCTCATGCAAAGCGACCTTAGGGCCCTGGATGTTTGGTGCAGCGCTTGGAATACGGCATTCTCGCTGACGAAATGCAACGTCATCTCATACCAATGCATCGTTCCGCCCAAGGCGTTAGCTCTTCAAAGCACTCTGCTTGTTAATAGCCTCACTGTCCGGGACCTAGACGTACATTACTCCGGTTCTCTGAACTTTGCAGAGCAAGTGAGCCGTTGCTCAGCAGATGCACGCTCCCTCGTAAGCCACATATTCAAATCCATGGCTCTGCAAGAACCTAGGCTTGCTCTATACAAAACCTGCGCCCGTCCTCTGCTAGAATACTGCTCCATTGTGTTTACCAACTCCAGAAAATGTGACAGAGTAGCCATTAAAATGGTTCAACGATTGTTTACCCAACGTCTTCTGGGCCACTGTACTCTTAATTATCGCGGTCGGTGCATCAAACTCGTGCTAGAACCTCTATGGCTGCGTAGGATGAAAACTAACATCTTCCTATATCAGGTTATCAATAATCCTCTTGCGAACTCAATAACGCCCTTCCTATCATCGGCCAACATTTTGTACCCACTTCGTAATAGACCGCACTCCATTACCCTGCCGAAAGCCCACAGTAGTACGGGTTCAAACTTCGATATATACAAATGCGCATATGTGTAATAGGCTTCCACATACTGTGCAGGCATCTGATAATGTAATGCAATTCCGTTCAGCACTCAATAGGTACTTCATAGTCGGTCATGTTTCTACTCTTTTAAGCATTAACAGACCTGAAGACGTACTGTGGGAAAACGGACCTGACCACGTATAAGCGTCTTCCCCATCCGACCTCACTCAACTCAAGTTTGCGCACAGCCACTCCTTAGTCTCTTCTTGTAGACTTTCACCTATTCATTACTTTCTGCAACATTTGTGACATCTTTCCATGTATAAGTTCAGCCCTGACTAGCTATTCCTGCCTCAGTTTACCTTAGCACAAAGAGGATTTCAGTATCTGCGCGCCGCTGCGCTTTAGCGTCTGATGCTCTGACGTATTTCACAACCATAATGTGTGCTTTGGCTTCACCCGTTCGTAGTTCTTTCATCTAACATTTTTAGCTCTCCTATGGCGATCATTCATATCTTATGATGTTTGCGCACAGCCACAGCCTAGCTCCTTTCATAAACGTTCATTTAACCATTACCCGCTGCAACGTCTAAGAAGCTTACTTACTAGAAGGCTCCATCCGAATGCCATTGCTAACCACCGACACTCTCGCTTCTAGCGACATTAGCTGCTCTTCGTCTTAACTTTGGCACATCTTTCCAGCTGCAGCGGTTCATTGTATGGAACATACATCCTTGCGCTAGGAGCCACTCATTATCTCTCCAACCCTTACTCTCTTGGATTGTTTGCATCACATACCTTCGATGGTTCATTGAATTCTTCTGTCACTGTAAGTATTCACTAACAACTGGAAGGTTTAATGCGAAATCAGTTGCTGTCCACTGGTTCTCTCTTTTAGCACCATTATCCTTCGTCCCTCTTATATTCATCCCGTTTTCTGCAGTGGGTCGTTGTAGGCTCCATACATCTTTGCGCATATCCGGAGCATCTAGGAGACATTCCTTGTTTCTCCATCCTGCTTGAATGGCTACGTCTGGCCACCTAAAGTTTTCGTAGCGCCGTTATCTGTCGATCCGCTTAATCTCATCACCTCTATTCAGTAGCAACTAGTGGTCGTAGGCTCCACGCATCTTCGCGCATACCCGGAGCTAAGAGCCGCTCCCTTTTATCTCCAACTTTCCTTCTTTGTAACTGTCTGCGTCACATTTATTTGCTCTCTGTTGACTTATTCTGGGACACTTTAGTGATCCAGTAGCCACAAGAATGCTTCACCTCAGTGCCACTGCTAGTCGTCGATACTCTCTATCTCGCCTAGTATCATTATCAGTACTTCACATTACCTACGTCACCACCTTTTAGCTGCAGCGAGTCATTGTAGGTAGCATGCATCTTTGCGCTAGGAACCACTCATTATTTCTCCAACACTTATTCACTTGGATTGTTTGGATCACATACCTTTGATATTTCGTTGGCTTCTTCTGTCACTATAAGTATCCACTAATAACTAGAATGCTTGACGCGAATTCAGTTACTGTCCGCTTGTTCTCTCTCTTAGCGCCACTATCCTTCGTTCCTCTTATATTCAGCACGTTCTCTGGAATGATTCGTTGTAGGCTTCATACATCTTTGCGCATATCCGGAGCATCTAGGAGACATTTCTTGTTTCTCCACCCTGTAATCTTTTAGAAAATCTGTATCACTTACCTCCGCTGGCTGGTTGATGCATTCTGTGACACTGTAGGAACCCTCTAGTGACCAAACTGCTTCATGGAATAATTACATCTGTCCACCTAAAGTTTTCGTACCGAATTCTACATCTCGGTGAGTTCCCCATGTTGAGGCCAATGCTGCACTTACGAGGGCCATGCAGCACACGCGGACACAGATACAAACTTGTTGTGCCGGATATGAAACGTGCTCCCCACCCACTGTGCTTCGAACGGAGAGTGGTAAACATTTGGAATAGTTTGCCCGAACATGTGATTGAGGCAACATCTGTGCAACAGTTCAAAACGTTATTAGATTTGCATTTTGCCTCTATTCGATTCAGAGAACGACTGCACACTTACGATGACATCACATTTGTGAATCCTGAAATATCGGCAGTCGAATATTTTAAATATTACATGAGAACGAAAATGATATTCAAGGTTGACAACTTTTATAACGTTTTTCGCCATATCTCGAAAGAGTTGTACAGAAACCATTTCTACTTGCTCTATAATACAGTATTCAGTATTCAGTATTCATTATCTACCCTGCTAGCAAATACGGAGGTATACGAAGATTTTTCTTCGTTATACGTGTCCGGACACAGTACGAAGGTATACGAAGGTTTTACGAAGGTAAACTGAGATTTACCTTCGTAAAAGCTTAGTGTTTGCCGCTGAGTGACACGAGGAATACGAAGGTGGTTGTCCGCCAATCGGTTGTGTAGTTTTTGGTGCGCACGTGTATGCGTCAGCCATACGCAACCAATCACAGGACAGACGGACCGCACTTACTGAGGTAAACGAAGATTTTTCTCCGTCAATACGAAGCGCAGCCTTCGTAATGACGGAGGGAATACGAAGCGTTTCCTTAGTCAATACGAAGGTTTCTCTTAGTAAATACGAAGGCGTTTCCCCGTATTGACGGAGCAATACGAAGGTTTATCTCAGTAAATACGAAGGCTGCTCTTCGTAAATACGAAGCAATACGGAGGTTTTCCTTAGTAAATACGAAGGTTTTTCTCAGTAAATACGAAGGCTGCTCTTCTTAAATACGAAGCAATACGGAGGTTTTCCTTGGTATATACGAAGGCTGCGCTCCGTAATTACGAAGCAATACGGTGAATTCTCTTAGCACGTACGAACGTCGGTCACCTTACTTAAAAGGCTATACTAAGGTTTCTCTCAATATATACGAAGGTTGCTCTTCGTACTTATGAAGCGATACTAAGATTTTCGACGCCATGCTACGATTCTTCTAAGTAATTTGTAACGATGCTCATGCTAATAAGGAAGCGAAAGTAAGAGATCACTTAGTTAATGGGCTACCTTACCAAAGGGTAACGTTCACGTGAGGGACGCGATTCAAGGCTTTCGGGAAGCCTACAGGAAGAGGTTTCTCCTTATGGCGTAAGCCAAATGCTTCTAACTAATCACTATGAAGCTATTAGTATATCACGGTTTGCTTACATAAGGTACCGGAAACGGTCGTACTTTTGCCGTACACGGCCCAGTGAACGTTTTCAAAAATGTGGACGCACAATACATGAAAGCAATACGTAAGCAGACTGCTGCGAGGAGTACATTGTCCACTTACCCATAGGGTATTTGCAGCCTGATTTCCCTTCTCCCCGTCCGACTAGGTAACGAAATGACCAGGGAGTAAATACCGCATTTGTGAGTCAGTCAATCCCACACCATTGCAAAAGCTGCCTGACATCTTAATGCAAATGTGAACGAGCGTACGTTATCAGCTACGGCGAAATATGAAACCGCGCAACGTAGTTGTCCCTGTCTTTTGATAAAATAAAGACCATGGCCTGCAGTGCCTTCCTTCCAGTCACGCAGTAGTCGAAATGCGGTAGTCACAATACGCGCCGAGACGGTGACATCGTATCGCATATGCGGAAATACCAGGGAGCGCTTGAAGCAAACCAGAAAATGGTTACAAATGTATATTAAAGTGCATGTAAACATTTACAACTTTGTCCGTGTTTCCTGATTGCTCTGATTGTCTAAATCTATCAAATCAAAAGGCTGTAATTGAAGCCGTTATGTACGGCATTAAAGGTACACAATACCTGCGATTCCTGACTGCTTGATGCGGCAGATGTACGCCGGTGCAGATTGCTCCGGGAAATCTGTAACCATTTGCAAACGCCGTTCGCTACGGCGTTGGCCGTGACCCCAAATCGGTGAACGATAACTTCTGTGAAGGAAGATAAAGTTGGAAAGGTTATCTGAGTTACCTTGAAGCGCACTGAATGTGTGCGTTTTCTTGAACGGTATTGCGTTGTTTGCACCCGCAAAGTTAAGCTGCCTCAAGACCTCTCTGTTCAGAACCCTATCCAACATGTATCGAATGGCCTCCGATACCGTGCCGGCGGGTGTTGAGTTCATGCGAGTAGTCTAAGTCATGAATTGAAAATCCTGCAAGGTGACTTACCAGTTCTCGACGGAGGTCTGGGTCCACTAATTTACTCTCTAACTCCAAGAATTCCTCAATAGTTGAGGTAGGTAGAGATAAATCATTACGTTGCATTGGTTTTGCAGTCCACATGGCCTGGGTCATGGCCGCGTGGCTCTCCTTCAATACGTGAAGGGTCTCCTCCACGCGTCTAAGTGAATCTGCTAATTCGTCGCAAGTAAGAAGCTCAAACATACCGACCACAGCGTGCAAAGTGTGCATGACCCTTTTGTCAGATTCATGACACCTGCCTGCCAGGGCGTGTATCTAAAGTGCAAAACCGGAAGACTTACAGCATTTCATACCCTCCGTTTGAACGGCTACTTCATTACATCCACCTGTTGCGGAAAACGGAATTACGGAAAAGGGAACTTACGCATGTGAGTATCCTCCTGGAAGTCATCAGCAATCTGAGGAGGCATGGTATGCCGCGCCACGTCCTCCAACGAGAATTCAGGAAATCTCCCATAGGTTGCAGATGCAGGAGCGTTGCACCGTTATTTTCTGGTCGGTACATTCTCATCCCCGTAATCACGAAGTTTCGCCGGCAGGCGTCTGCAATGCATTGCGTTATCAAATGTGTAGCGCATTACATAACTCGCTTCGGTGATGTTTGCATGGGGATGGTGCAATCGGTGTCCGTCCCATGACGTTGATCCCCGACGGTACTTTCCAGTCGGCGTGCGTCCTCGAAATGCACTGCAAATGATTAAATGAATGTCCTTACCTGTACGATGAAGTACCGTCACTGGAAACATTTTGCAATCAGCTATGGGGTATCTGTGCTCCCGCACCGCCTGGTGGCAATCGAACATTGGAAGGTTGGGCAAAAGAGCATGCTGCCCGTCCTCCAACAGCCATCTGCTGCTTATTGTGTTCACTTGGGAGACACCGTCGTGCGTGTAACTGACAACGCAGTAATCCCACAGCGACATATCTGTAGAAGCCATTACATACGTGATTACCGTAAGCATGCAACTGCTGGACGCCCCCTTAAAAACGGGAAAACAGACAACACATACAACTGCAGACTACAGATGGAACAGTCGGAAGTAAGCTATGGAAGGAGTATATTTTAATGGGTGTCATCCGTAATGGTTCCAGATACACAACATTAAATCACATCGTGGCCTTCCTATGTTCCTCAGGTCGGGATTGTCGCAAGTTGCCATCCAATCCATCTTTCCGTGTTGCTTAGTGCAAGGGAAATTACTGACGTCATCTCGCATAACTGGGACATAACAAAAAGGGGCACTTACCGGAGTCTGTGGGCACCAAGGAATATAGGTACTTGAATACCTGTTATCAACATGGGCCGCATTCTTGAGTTTTCAAAATGTTTGAATTTTTTGCTCTTTTTCAATTATCATTTTGCTTTCTTTTCCGTCTCCAGATGAATTGTTACCGTAAGGATAATGAAATGGTCACCAATACCATGCGGATAAACAGGCGGAGTCGGTAAATGCCGTTAGCACCATATGTAATGGTATCCTGCAGCACGCATACCTTGTGATCATGGCATAGGTCAACAAGACCGCAAAGCTACGGCACCCTGGGTTGTCGCGTTCTAAATGTATGCAGCAATGGGATGATGACTTCGTCTAAACCAACGGTGAAACATACGCATTTGCATAGGATGTCATGAATCGGAAACCGCCGCAAGTCATCAGACACACCATTAGCAACATAAATATGCAGCCTGGAAGACGGCATACTATGGACGTATAAATCTCTGAGATGTAGGAATGATGCGCAGTTAACATATGCGGTTGTTGCAACGTCCGGTTGCAACGATACTATCTGGTACGGTTTCTTTCCTACGATGATTACGTTGTCCGGTTTGCTTGGGAAAAACACGGTCCCATTTAACCGAAAACCCATTTGCCTATTTATTTCGATGAGGGATACAGTTTCACATAAGTTGGAGGGCTGATTACCATTGCATAAGTTTCCCTGGAACTCCATACACCGTCGCAAAAGCTGAGGAACGATGTTCACTGGGCTTCGTATTCGCCTTTTCAGACACCTAATGTAAGATTCGAAAGGGAACGCGGAGAAATCATCCAGTGTCCCATGTGCATACGCATCTTGTGCCAAATGACACAGCGAATGCATGTTGAATGTCATTTCTTCAGCCCCATACAGTTTGAAGAAACGCGAAATAAACACCATCAGTACATTATGTGCAAAAGAGCAACATTTTCTGAATAGCAAAGGATGACAAAGCAGATAAATACCTAAATGCAAATCCAAGAAATTGACGTAATAGTCCAGGGGCAAAATATCCCCCAGAACCGCGGGTCCGGCATACAACAAGAATTGCCGAAATTCAGACGCTTTCCACCATCTGAACTTATCTACGCCTCTACAACGGCGTGGAAAATCACGCGGCCAATGACACCGATTCATGTCAAGGACATCGTTAAGACGTGACACAGTGTCCATATCCAAGCGAAAATCCTTGCTAGCGGCGGCAGTTGTCCACAAGGATATCATGCGCCGCATAACACCCAAGCAAACAGCATGCATATAGTCTATAGGAAACTGCTCCACCATGTCTATGGGCAAGTATTCAAATGGTGACCATTTGCTACGGCTGTGCGCACGGAAGGACTCATTGGTACGTAGGCGGCAATCGGTGCAAGGAAACGTTACTTTCCCAGAGACATAAACACCTCGCTGCACACATTTGTCGCAGCTGCCGTACCCGGAATGTGCTTTACTACGCTTCACATATGATCTTGCTGGTGCATCACAAATGATATTAGAGATACGCACAGCGTTTGGTGTAGACCGCCCGGGCAACATAACGCCTGTTCGAAGTAACGTTCTCAATTCCGTTACAAGTGGAGCCAAAAAGTGGTGTACATTCCACGGTTTTCGTGGACCCGAGTATACACCAACCAAAAATGGATGCGAAATCAAGGGCGCCACAGACCTACACAAAATGGGCCAAACTTGCACACCGGATGAATTAACTGGTGAGAACCCATCCACATGCAACTGCAGGTGAATGCTCTGGTAGGTGGGCACACTTTCGCAACGGTAAGCCATCTTCAGACCGTCAATTATCCCCATGTGACCATACGTACCAGGATGTACCTCCATCTCGTTAGTGGTTCTTGGAGTTCTCATCAACGTCCGGTAATCCTTCGGTAGAGACGGTATGAACTTACGCAACCCTTCCAGAAGCTTGTTAACAGCCCAAGCCGAGGTGTTGGTATTAAGCACCCATGATGCGAGGAAACTACGTGCCTCATCACACGGCGTTGGTGACGTAGTCAAATCTATAGCACTGCAATCATGCTCCCCTAGTTCGCAGCTCATGCTTTGCACGTCATCACTCTCGGTTTCCGTCCTTGGTGACTGAACGGAAAGTACGTCGGGGGATTCGCGTATACAGCGGTTGTGGTCCGCATCTGAAAGGTTACGCGGTGGCGAGACGCAAAAGTCTACAAACACACAAAAAGGTTGTCCGTGAACCTTACCTCCCATAATTGCATCCACGTTACAAGTGGGGCTACGGTTGCGCTCACTGAATGCCTCACGCTCTGCGAGTCTACGCAAAAGAAGCAATCGCATTCTCAATGTGCGTGCAGAAGGTAACGCAAACGAACAACGACGTCTTGTTAAACGACTACGCATCTCTAGAACATGAAATATTAAATGAACAAACGCTTACGTAACGATGCTTAAACAAAAAAAGGTGTCTGAAGTGAATGACGGACGTACCGACAAGGAGACCAATGGGAAACGGTAGAGCAATCAAATGACCGCGCACTTCTATTTCCGGTAAAAAAAGGTACGCAAACAAACATTGACGTTTACCTTAAGGAACACAAATCCACATTATACCTCACTTTATAACCCTTTGACGTTATTATACGTAACATTAATTGTTAAACAAAAAAATTTCTTTGCATTATTTTTGGTCCAATCATACATCTACATAGAAAGTCCACGGACTGCCTTCCTATTGGTTCGTAAATGACGAAGCAAAACGAAGACAAACCTTCGTAAGCGTCCGTCATTGACGGAGGTAAACGAAGGAAAATCTCCGTAAACGTCCGTCAGTGACGGAGCAAAACGAAGCAAACTCTTCGTAACCGTTCGTCATTGACGAGGGTAAACGAAGATTAACCTTCGTTTTGCTTCGTCACTGACGAACGTTTACGAAGAAAAATCTTCGTAAACGTTCGTCAGCGCCTCGCCATTGACGAAGCAAAACGAAGATTTTGCTCAGTATGACGGAGATTTTTCTTCGTCATGTGCTACCAGGGTATCGATCCTCTTAACCTCAGCACCTCTACTTAGTAGGAACTAGTGGTCATAGGCTCCACACATCTCTGCGTATATCCGGAGCTCACTAACAGCCGCTCTGTTTTATCTCCATCCTTCATTCTTTAGGGCTCACTGCTTTATATACATCCGCTCTTTGTCGATTTATTCCGGGACATTGTGGGTACACACTAGTAACTAGAAGGCCTCATGCGAATGCAACTGCTGATCACCGTTACTCTCACTTATAGCGCCACTATCCGTTCTTTGTCTTACCTCTGGCACCTCTGTTTAGCATCAGCCATTCTTCGTAGGCTCCAACCATCTCTGCGCATATCCTGAGCCTGCTAAGAGCCACGCTTTTATACCTCCAACCTTTAATCTCTGAGACTGCGTGCGTCACACACTTTCTGTGTGTTGACTTATTCAGGTATCCAATAGCAACTATCGGGCTCCACTGAAATGCAATTGCTAGCCTTCGGTACTCCCTCTCGCCTAGTATCATTATCAGTTAGTATTACATATGTCACCGCTTTCCAGCTGCAGCGATTCATTGTAGGTAGCATAAATCTTTGCACTAGGAGTCACTCCTTATCTCTCCTACACTTACTCACTTGGATTGTTTGGATCACATACCTTCGCTGGTTTGTTGACTTATTTTGTCACTGTAGGTATCCACTGGTAATTAGTAGGCCTAATCCGAATGCGCTTGCTGGCCACTGATACTCCCTCTCTTAGCTTCACTACCCGTCGCTCTCCTTATCTTCCTCACCTCTTTGCAGCGATTCGTTGTAGGCTCCATGTCCCTTCTGCGCAGATCTTGAGCTTCCTAGGATACACTCCTTGTCTCTCCATCATACATTCTCATGGAATGTCTATCCCTTACCTTCGCTGGCGCGTTGATGCTTTCTGTGACCCTATAGGCATACACTAGTGAGCAGGCGTCTTATTGTAATGGATACATCTGGCCATTGGTAATCTTTCCCAGCGCCACCATCCGTCGATTATCTTAAATTCAGCGCCTATGCGTAGTAGGCAGGTAGTGGTCGTAGGCCACATGCATCTGCGATTATCCTGAGCTTGTTAGGTGCCACTCCGTATCTCATTAACCTTTGTTCCTTTAGAATATCTGCACCCAAGCTTTCCGCTGCCGTACCGCCAAATGAACTTTAGATCTCTCTCGCGGCAACTGAAGATATTTATCTCATTAGCACCCTAGTATAACTTGATTAACTGGGCGTCGCTTTGGCTTAGCCTCTACGCTCTGAACTATCTAACAGCCGTATTGTATGCTTGCGCACCATCCGTTCGTTGTCCTTTTTCATGAAACCTTTCTTAGCTCTCTTCTTTGCAGCATACATAACTCAAGTCGTCAGTGCGCAGCGCTCCTTTCTAGACGTTCATTTAGCTAGTATTTGCGACGTCTATGACACCTACTTATACTGAAGTCCAGCTTTGGCACCGGCTTTTCCCGGCAGAGGCTTCCTTGCCAGATGCACAGCTGTAACCTACTCATCTGCGACACCTAATTCATTGTAGTTCAGCTCTCTCACTGGCTTCTCTTCCGGGGCAGGCTTCCTTAGTTATATTCCATTAGCACTCCAGCATGATTTGATTAGCTGCGTGTCGATGCGTCAGTCTATTATGCTCTGCACTATTTAA